CCAACTTCGCAGTCTTGCCATTTTTGTTGCCTACTAACCCTTTTTTGGGTGACCCATCCATTGGGTCAGCCAAGTGGCGCCAGGCCAGAGATACGCTGGAAAGTCCCACTGGCGCTATCCCAGGAGGGCTTTCCACAGCTTGCAACGACCTCATTGACTCATTGACTCTCGACCTTGGCCTCACCCTATTGACTTAATACATACATTGTTAATACATAATGATACTCTATTTTTTCATAATGTCAACTGCAGGAGCTAATTCATGGGTGATGAGCCATTGAAGGACCAAGGGCGCCCTTTCCGCAGTGTTGTTTGTTTCATGGTGACTTTTCACTGCACACCAAGCCTCATCACTTGCATCACTTGGACCTACTGCATGCACCAAGTGCAAGGAGCCATAGCACTGAGATCTCTGCATATCACCGCCTCAGCCATTAATCCAGCTGTTCAACCGAAACACGAAACTGCCTCATTGCGTGCAACAAGGATATCCTTCGTATAGCCAGTGTCTACCTAACTTCGAGCATGAGTTCCAATGCTGATTGAATGACTTTACATACACTAGAAATCCCGGACATCTCAGACAAACTAAGAAGGTGGCCATGTGCATTGACAGGCTTCTCCCATGTCTTAAGGTGTTCATCTATGGCAAGTGGTGGTTTTCCACCTTTTTTTTTTTAACATCCTGGTGGGTCTTGGGTGGGTTTTGGGTGGGTTCTCAGGCTCCGCACCTGCAGGTGTTTTTCTTGTTGACACTAGATTGCCAATGGTCCAGTCGACATGCATTTTGCTGCTGCATCGTGGTGTTGGTCAATGACTATCAGGGTACACTGACAAAAACTATTCCATAATTTCGGCGCGCTCTTCACGCCACTGGGACAATGGATTTGAGCAAAGTGTTACACCCACCAAAGTTCCAGACCTTTGCCTGAATGCTGAATGCATCAGAAAATATACATTACATAGATATAACATATGAAAAATTAGATCACAAATATATGGATTCATATATATACACATAACACATATTTAAATTATGAAAGCGACCAGGAAATCAACTCAACTTTGGCTCGGTCCAGTGTGCAAATTGAGCAGCAAGATAACAACAAAATGCAGAAGAAAACATTCAAAGCGTGGGAAAACAAGCTCACCTTGGCTGTCACAAACGGCCTGACTAGCTAGCAGTTGGGGCATCGCGCACCGTGTCTTCATGTACACTGCCTGATGCCAAACTGGGAGAACAGCACGCCACACATGATAGAAATCAGAGGCTCGACCCAGCTGCACTGTGCTCCACGCAGTGGTCAACCTGACCGGACTATCTGACTCGCTGCGATTTAAGGCCCCCGCCAAGGTCTTGACCACGCCTTCAATATGCAAGGGTCACAGATGATAGCAATTTGATGGACAAAACTGCAGTTGAAGATTAGTGTCATCCACAAGCTCAAAATATTGCGAACATCATCCATGAATTTTTCCAGGTCAAGCTACACACTCCTCCGCTGGACCCTACTGCATTCCGCAATAATTCAGATCACACAAGCGACGAAGGAGCGACATACAAGGTGTTTGTTTCATCTTTCAAAGTCTCACGCTTCCCACACTGTTTGAAAACCTGCAGAGCACCGACACTTGTCTGGACCTCCTGTCCAAGCGTGTGATCCGTGGAGGAGGAGTTTGCCTGCAATGTGCAGCTTCGCAGCCAGCAGTTTGTCATCGGTTCTTGGAGGCCATGAAGAGCACATACGAAAGACTTTTCATGCAATTCTCAAAATCCAGGAAGAATCATTTCAAGGTACATTTTTCCGCACAAATGAGGTCCGTTTCAATCGTTTCAGCTCCACGTAGATCATGAATCTGCATCAAACACGCCGCATGCAAAGCATGGATTTTTTTTTGCCAGACCAACAGACCAACTCTCGCAGCCTGCGAAGCTCGTCAAAGCTTGCCTCAGCCATGGCAGCAATTGGTGCTTGACGCCCAACTGTGGGATCCCAGGTCGCCCACCTGGGAGCCACCAAAGAACGGATGCCTTTGCAGCTCGCCAATGCCCTGGATGGGACAAGAAACAGCAATACCAAAATCAATCAATTCCTCTGTAGATATGGAGCCCCCTTGGAGATATAGTCAGAATCATTCAAGAATCATTCAAGAATCATTCAAGAATCATGCAGACTCAATATAGAATCACTCAGAATCATTCAGAATCATTCAGATACCATCAATTAATCACTGTAGTGTAGTATGATTATGAATAGCTATAGTACTAATCACTATAACATACTATAACCAGAATCACCGGATTCTCCAAGTCATTTCTTTTCAACTTCGGCACCAGGCTCCATTGCCATCGGGGGGCCTCTGCACCTGGACGTCTCTGCGGCACTTTGGACAGCAAGGCCTGGCGCGGGAGTTGAACCCAACTTTTGGAAATAGGGTACCCTCTGGTACTTTAACATAACTATGGAAAATCACCATTTATAGTGAATTTTCCCATGAAAAATGGTGATTTTCCATAGTTATGTTAAATTACCAGAGGGTAATGGAATATGGTTACTGTCTGGTTCCTAATTGGAATATTTGAACCCAACATAACCCAACTATGTGGTTACTAATCCAAGTTTTGGTAATAAGTGGGATATGTGAACCAAAAGTTGGATTAGTTACCACATTTTCCATATTCAACCATGTATATTTTAGCCATCCTATGCTCGCGGAAGTTTGTCGTAAATCTAAACATTGACTCTATTGGCCATCCAACTTTTGGTATCCTCTTCGAGCCATCTGGTTGGATTCAGTTGAAATCTCTTCCACCTATGTTTTCCCTCACCATGGGACCCGCAGCCTCTGTCAGCATTTGCGCCTGACCCAGCAGTGGCTGTTCATCAACGATGCTCAGTTCTGGCAGAAGCTGAATCTGATGGCACCTCCCGATTCATGTCCTCAGGGAACTTGTAGTCAGCATTCTGGATCCGCTCGAACACCAGGTACCTAATGGATTCATCGGCATCAATGCAACGACACCATGGGGCAGTTCATCTGGATCATTCATCATTGATAGATATACAAAGGAAGGGAGTTTTTGAACAATTTGGTTGTTACATGTCAGGCAATGCATTCATGAGAAGAGACAAATAAGACTGACAAATGCTGAAGTCTTTTTGTGCATGGTCTTGTATGTTTGAAAATTGAATACCCCAAAATCACTGGTTTTACATCATAGTACCAGTATGCATTCAATTGCCATTGTTGGGGTATGCCACCCCATTTCATCCACACATATAAGTCGAGCAGAATGAATGGATATAATTGCCAGTCTGAGGCTCTGGCTCTGATTCAGCATGGAATGGAGTCTTTCCGACAAGCATCTGGCAGCGGCAACAGCAAGGTGCTCCATGCATCTCAATCATATTCATATGTGTATATATATATATGATATATGTATATAAATATATATATATACATACAGTTACATATACATACAGTCATCCCACTCAAGGATACGAACTTGCAAACACGGATAACCCTGCAAAAGACCACTCTTCTGCAACAGCACTTGTGGGCGGTGCTCCAGAGATAGCCAACCCTCCTGAAAATCTCAGCACCAGGCGAGGTAGATGATGCAACCCAGGGCCCAAAAATCCAACGCAAAGGCCTGGCAGCGCCAAAAAGGTCCGTCCCTTCGCAACCGCTGTGGTGATCACTGATTGTTGTTAAAAGTCCGATGCACCTGGTGGGGCTTGACGGTACCCAAGATCACTTCTGGGGCAACATACCTGGCAATTGAAGTCTTCTTGCAACTTGCACCATGATTCCAAGCATATCATGCCACATCTGACATCTTCTGTGGCTTCCAAGCATACACCGTTGAGAAAATTGCTACCTGACACCATGCTATCTTTCAGATCGCTTAAAACATTGGCGAAAGTGGCCAAGAAAACTCCAAAAAAAACGATACATTCATAAATCACTATGGTGATCAGCATGACCAACAGCTTCTATCGTCATCGCCGTGGTCCGCGTTATCATCATCTTCATGCTCATAATTTTCTTCTGCTCTTGATCATTCAGCATCATCATCAGAAGAGTGGAGGTTTCCTAAAATGGGGGTACCCCAAAATGAATGGTTCTTAATGGAAAATCCTATTAAAATAGATGATTTGAGGGTACCCCCCATTTTAGGAAACCTCCAAATGGTGAATACTGGAGCCACAGCACTGAGCAACCGCACAATGCCGTCCCCACAAAGTCCACTGCGGCACCTTGCCAAATGGCGGTCAGTTGTTCACCCCAATAGGTACCTTGTAGTCAACATCAAAATAGCTGCTTGTTATGGATATTCAATGTCATTACACAACATTCATCTCCCCAATCTGAAAAAAAATCCATGAAAATCTTGGCTCATACCCAAACGATGAATGTGCTAACTCCGCCTACCTTGTCCCGTTGACGGGTGGCACTTCGAAGCCATTGAAATCACAGGATTACCGCATCACCCTGCCTGCATTTTCAGGCTGGCCAGCAGCAGCATCAGCTTCCCCCTGTCAAATGCAGCAAGGCTAGGGGATGACACGATGACGCGTCCCGGTTGGAGACATCATGAGACATCTGTTTGGCATTCGATGGCTCTGGCCTCGGGCACATACATGGCTGCATCGAAGTCAACGAGCTTCAAACGTCCTTCGGAGGTGAGGAGCAAATTCTCGGGTTTCAGGTCGCGATGGGCCACCCGTTTGGAGCGTAAGTACCTGCCGGTGGCACTCACTGGAATCTGCTTGGCGAAGATTGGTTCAAGGGATTTCAACATGGGAGTTCAACGAAGCCACAACTCCACAAGGACCAAATTTTGGATCGTACACTTGCCCTGAATCTCAGTTACATGTACTGTAAACACCTTTAATTCATTGGGATTGCAGCACATTAAAAATACCAAACATCTAAACAAAGTCAATGAAAAAAACACAGGCTCGCCCCATCAATTTGAACAAGTTGTAACTTTGAGCAGCTTTCACTGGAGCGCGGACCCCAAAATTGACACAATCTCCGCAATGTAGAAGCAAGTGAAAGACGTTGTGCAGCGACCTGGCAATAGCGGCTGTGAATGGCATCAAAATGCAGAAAGTCACCGAGTCAATCAATCAGTGGTTGCACCCATCCGCTGGATTTGCGACGCGAGCTCACCCCCCGGTACCTGACGATCTGGACATCATTCGGACATGTGACATGTTGGTTGAGGACAGCTTGCCGAGATGTTCACCATCAGTAGATTGCATCCATTGGTTCCGTGCTACATTGTTTAGCTTGTCCACCACGTGCCGGTGTTGCCAGTCATACCGTCAAGAAAAGTAGAAGACTCCAAGATGGAAGCCAGAAACCAAAGACCCCGTTTCCATGAACAGATTTTCACAGCAATTCCAAGGACACAACATCACTTGGCGTCCCTGCCAACTCCAAACCAAAGTACAGGGCCCAGTCGTCCTGTGGTGACATCAAGTGACATCAACATCTCTCCATTTGTCCCCATTCAGGCCCCAAAAACTACTTGCGGATGGATTTCGTACTCCTTTGATTACCAAGGTGACCCAGGTGATGAAATCGGGTGCCCCTGTTTTGATCTGTGCCTGGAAGGCGAAATGCAGGCGCACCTTGCCGCTGAAATGGGAGCATCCCACATGCAGTGGGAGGAATCCAGCAGCTTCGACAGACTGAAGGCAGTGAAATGATTTTAGGGGCATGTGCGCAAGTGTGCATTCGGGGCTCATTCTGACATGTCCGGTGCTCCGAAGAAACCGTTTTAGGAGCGGCTGTGCAACCTCGAAAGTCGAAAGTATTCAAATGGTAAGTCTTGAGAAATGTAACGAAGATGTTCTTCGATGTTCTTGCAAGGTATGTGTCAAGATCTAGTATGGACATTCCATCACTTTCCCTGGTAGATTTGGGTGATTCGGTGATTCCCCAGCTGTTATGGCCAGGCCACAATCCCAGGGTGGTCCAAGTTCAACAGCATGGTGCGTTCGGTGAGGACACCACTGCTGCGATCTCGAACCTCCGGATGTGGAATGGAATGGACACTGCTTCAAGAGCTTCAACAAAAAGTTGAAACATGTTGAAACATGATCCAACTTTCATCTTTGACAGGTAACAGAACTTTCTACTCTATTACTGTTGGGTCAACTTTCATGATGTCCTAGAAGCGCTGCCCTCCACAGGGTTTCTGGTAGCATGTGCATCAGCCTGAATCGTCTTCTTGTCTACCATCTTGATGGCATATTCACCTGCAAAGGTGACAGGCAACCAAACACAAAGAATGAAGCGGATGAACAGGTCATGTTATTTCACATTGCCAACCATCGCCACCGGCATAAAGCCTACTTCACAGATATCCTCACAACAGGGATCTGCTTGATGCCAACATACTTCAGACATCTAGAGACTCTGAGGATCTGCAGTCTGTCAGTGCCGCCAAGGTACCACCATCGTGATGTCTAGCCACAAGCACTCTTGCGAAAGCTCCCTGGCGGATGGTGGCAAAATTCACATCGGCTGGGCAACATCTAGGTCCAGGTTCAGGCCAGATCAAAACGATCAAAGCGGTCCTTGATACAATTCCAATGGCTATACAAAATCGTTCCAGATACAATAAGGTCCCACAAGGAGGGAGCACAGTCTCGATAAATTGCTCTCGAAAAAGGAAATTCGATGTGCTCACATCTTGCAACCTCCCCAACCCTGTGAGCCGGAAGGTTGCACAAGCCTCTCCTAGAAGACTACCAAAGGTGAAATCCTGCAGGTGTCAGAAGAATGTCCAAAAAATCCAAGAGATTGGAGAAAATAGCCCAAACTTTACTCCAACAAAGCCAAGGGTTTGGTCTCCTGCCCTCATTGATTTCACTCCCCATTGCCACAGATCGACCCATTGCCCATTGCCCATCTCCTCTCGGGACAAGCCACCTCTGTATCGCAAACGCACAGTTTGCTGCGGGCTCACGCGATCCATCAGTTGTCATCAGTGGATAGATTTGGATAGATGTCATCAGTGAAAAGCTGTTGCAGTTGTCATCAATTGTCGAATTCCATGGTGAAGTGAAACTGCAACAGCTTTTCCGCAGAGTCTTTTCGGAACTGCATGGCGATATAGCAACGCTTTCGATTTAAAAAAACTCGATGATTCATACCGTTTTTTCCCCAGGTGTAGATTCTTGAATCGCATTGGTCTCGCAACCGGGAAAAAAAATAAAAAGAAACTTGTCACAGCACCAAGCCCAGACAGGCCTTTGCTCCTGGCACATCAACCATTTCTGTTTTGGAAGGACATGTCTGTGGCACTCGCAAGTGTATTTGGAAACCTTTGCACTGCTCTGCCATTGCCTGTTGATGAGCCTTGCATGGCTCAAGATTAACAATCAAAGCAGACCTTCGGCGTTTTTTTCGCGCTCTTCTCGTTTCATGACATTTGTTTAATCAAACACCTCCTGCCTTTGCGAAGCATCAGCCTGTCGGCAAACAAGTTGTTTATCCTTTCTGTGAAAGATATTTGAGTATCAACTTCAGTGACCGGTTCCGAAAACAAGACTTCCAAGTGCGAAAAAAAAAAAACAGCGCATGTCTGTGGTATCGGAATGTCCATCGTCACAAGATGTTAGAAAAAAAAACATCAGCAAATGCATATTATATATTATAATATATATATAATTTATATAATTGTAAAAATATAAACGGTACTGTATGTTGAGGAGAGAAAGGGAGAGGCAAAGAGCAGGGCCTTGAGATCTTGGATCATGTGGATTATCAACTACCAAAAATGTTGTATCTCCTGCACAAACAACATGAAAGTTCGTCACACACAACGTCCCAAATCGCACCTCCATATTCGATGGCGATCGTTTTGGAAATGTGTGTGTTTTGAAGAGTTGTGTCCAGCTGTGGGATTGTTGTTCAATTGCGCACGGTGCCCAAACAGCACCGAACACAATAGTCAAGGTGTCCCAGTTTCTTCGGCTTTGTAAATAGGTATACATACAAGTCATCCCCATGTATGATCATGCAGTAAACATGTTGCATGTGGTTTTTCAAAAAAAAACAAGCAGGCATTTGGATCATTCTACATCGAAAAACATGACCACGATTTCATATGGGGCACGCATGATCCCCAGCCTGTCTCTTTTGAGCCATTTGTCTGGGGCACAAAGCACGGCCTTTGTCAACTGCAGCAGAAACGAAAGTGGCAACAGGCAGCTTTGAGCGTCAAACACCACCGTTTTGAAAGTGTTGGTATTCAGAATATTGATTGCCAACCACTGTATAAGGAAAAACCATGGTGTCTCATCGTTCCGATTGCAAAAACTTGTGGAAGAAAGCCTGGACTGAAAGTTGCAATGATCATCGTTGTCGTGTCAATCACGTTTCCACATCACGAGTCTTCTTCGGATATTATATGCAGTTTTATCGTCCATTGCCAGTATGATCTGTCTCCTCAGAGCAACTTCCCTTTGCCACACGGGCTCACGATCTTGCTCCCGCAAACAAACAGCAAAACACTACGAAAATGCTCACTGCTGTCTGACTCGGAGGCCACCATGAAAATTCTGCCAAAAAAACACGATTTTAAAATTGTCAAAGACCAGCTGCTCATTGGTTCCATCTAGCCGCCTTCAGCTCAGACGTCATCTTTTCTGCGTACGCGGCGTTGGCCCAATGTGTACACTGGCCACAGTTGCCCGTCTGGTTGTGCCCATGTTGCATGTTAAACAAAACCCATCCACAGTAGGTTTTGCATTCACAGCACCATACGTAGATTTCCTGCGCCGTTTGGGTTTTTCCTCATTGAACTTGCCCCCAACTTAAACCGGTTAAAATTGCATGCGATCTTGAAAAAAAAATACATTTGAACCACCACCTTTCTTCCAACTAGCCACTGTCCTTCTTCTTGGTGCCCTTGTAACCCCAACACAACGGGGCTGGGAGCTTAGGGCAACCCCTTCCATCTGCCGCAGCTTGGGCCTTCTGCCTGTCTGCAACCGTTGGTTCCTGAAAGCATTGCTAGGGGAGTTGACAAGCAAGTGGATACACACAGGCCCATGTCGGATGCATTTGCAAACTTACAGAAGAAAGGAAACTGATTCAAGAGGCAACAAGCATGGAAGGGAAACAGTTCTTGGGAAATACCTGGCCTCGTCACTTGTGGAGACCAATTTCAAGTCCAAACTTTTCGCCAGAGCTTCCTGCCGCTGGCAGGCCATCTTCATCTGTTTCGTCTCGGCGGCTTCCACAGCCGCCATCCAAATCATTCTGCGCCTCTCCTCCACGTGTGCAGAAGGCTTGGGAAGGTGCTTGGCAAAGTTCTGATGGTTTCCTGTACCAAGATGCTCCTGACATCGTCATTGGAAAGAATAGTCACAAGTCACAAGATTTTTCTTTCTGGTCAGTTCAGGTTTTCACAAACCCCGTTGGTTGAACATAGACTGTTGGAAGTTTTTGGCCTTCGCGCCTCTATCCCCTGACTTATTTCACGATCCGGGCAGCACCCGCAGAAGACTTGTCGACCTCTCACCTCGCACAGGCCCTGGAGTGTCCATCCATTCGCTTTGATAAAGGAAGCGTGGGCGTCCCATTGTTGCTGCATGCTGTCATGGTTCCCCTTCTTTTTCTGGCGGCAAGGAAGGATGTGGTCGGGCAGTTTTTCCACTGAAACATCCACTTCACAGTACCAACATCGAAACACACCTGACTCTTGCAGTTCCAGTCCACGAACCAGCAGCTCAAGCACCGTGAATTTGGATAGGTCTGCAACGGTCGACTCCTTGTTCAGCGGGTGCCTGATCGGTGGAAAGCAAGGAAGGTCTTCACCAAGCTCCGGTGGTGCCATATGCGAAACCAAATCGGGTTCTTCCACCGCCACCGCAGACAACAAGCTCTTCAAAGCCCCCAGCATGTCAGGCCACTTGCTGGGCCACTGCTTCCGGACCAAGTGCCAAAAAAGGGACAAGACTTGCAGTTCATCCTCCGGATCTGAACGGCCTTGCAGATCTTGCATCTCGAGTAAGATCTCTGCACGCCATGCTGCTAGAACTTGTTCATCATTTTCAACCTGCAAAGAGGGTCAAGATGAGCGTGTATTTATTGGATACAAGCGGTGAATAAAAGAAATTTAGCCAAGGACTTATTACACCAACCATCACGATGTCCGACCTCCGTGGGTATCAAGTGACACCATTCGCACATGGAGCGCAGGACAGCGACACAGCGATGCCACAAGGACTTCAAGGCGCAATGCTTTTCGGATGCTGCATGATTCTCTCCAGCAGTCTCCTGACAGAGTCTGCACCAGTTCCCAAGGCCAGCAGTGACCAAATATGGATGCGGATGCGAACCTTCCACTTTGGCGTCTGCTTCAAGAAGCGGATGTGGTAGGTCCAGATCTTCAGCGCCATGGTGGGCAGGCAACGCAGTCTTCAACGCATCACTCCAATAGAAGTGCGGGTTTCCTCCCCCTTGCGGCTCCAGGAGGTAAAGGCCAGTGGTTTTGGATCTCCGCCGTTCATAGCCAGGTGGTAGCGAAGGCCGACCCAATAACGGATCCAACTCTCCATTCTTTGCAGCCTCAACGAGTTGATTCTCAGCCCTTCGCGGTAAGCAAAGATCATGCAAGACCGTTTGATCATCGCGAATCTCTGGCAACCGATCCTGACAGCAGCTTCAGGGCCACCAAACAAAGTGATTCTTTTCATCATCGCAAAACAAATTGGCGCAAAAACATCTTCAAAGGTCTCACGAGAATAATGGGCTAGGCCTTGGGCCGTCAAAGGGAAACGCTTGTCCCATACTTCATTTCCAAAAGAGGTAGTTTGAAAATCCAAAACAAAAAAGGGCTCACACCCTGAATTCTTCCGAATCTCCAGCATGCTATCCAGCAATTCCACCACCTGCGGAGAAAATCCATTCCTCTGTAGCCAGGACTTGGCAGCATGGCGTCGCCCAGGAGTTTCGCAAAAATGCGCGCCCGCTTCAGCAGCTTCATCCAAGGCCATTTGCAGATCGTCCAGCGAGAGCCCTGTGGCAAGGTGCGGCTTGCTGAAAACCGAATGCAAAGAGCGGTTGGACATGATACTGCAAAGCAACTAAAACGAACTGAGTAACTGTCCTTATAGTGGCTTTCGCAAAGTATGTTTGTCTTCATGCTTTTGTTTCTTTTGGCTAGAAGCTTCACATGTTGGGGGTTTCTTTTGTACACCCGCCTCTGCTCTGACAATCTGCAATGGCCTGCAGGAACCAAGCCAATACAAGGGTGAAAATTGGTGGCAACGCTGTCAAACTGCCTTCCTGTGATCTTTCTTTCGTAAGCCGTTCAGCAGAGAAAACCAACTTTGTGCAAATCCAATCAGAGTCATGCTCAGCACAACAGCACACCAAGTGTGACCACTTGCAGTGATTCAATTCTAGGCCATCGAATGTGCTTGGGTTTACCACATGCCTAAAACTCCTTCGAATCTGCTGTGAGGCAACCTGAGGCGCTTGCTGTTACGAGTTTTCGCGCTTCTCGCCGCAGCTGATCGAAGCCATCGGGGCTGGTATCAACAAGCCGCTGCCTGGGCCAGCAAAACCTCACCGAATTAAACCTCGCCTCCATACGCCAAGCTGGGTTTTAGTTTAGTTTTAGTCTTTGATTTGACTCTAGGAGTAGCCCTGGAAATCAAAGATAGCTGCAGAGCCGAGAACATGTAGGAGAAGAGGTTGGATAGGAAGTGGAACCTGTTTCATTGAATTGACGGAGCAGAGAACTGTAACCTATCTTACAAATCAAGAACCGCCTGGGTGCGCACGAGAACCTCAAAACACAATTCAATCGTTACTTGAGACGTCTCAGACTTAAGTCCCTTTGCTGGCCACATCATGATTCAACAACAATGTTACCCAAACTTTCCAATGAGATGCTGTTGTTGCATCTCTAACATTCTTAACAGCCTTCAGATTCCAGGAAAAATTGGTCCACTGAACGCTCGTAACAGCAAACGTGCATGGCTGTCCTCGCAGTTAAAACCTTGTGTTGGAAGCCTTACGCTTGGACACTTTGTCTTTGGGAGCCCTTTGCTGGCGAACTTTATATTTAATGAGTAATTCGGAATCTGCTATTTTTAGGAACCTTGTCATTGGGGATCTGGCGTTGGTATTTGATAAGCCTGTCTTCCGAAGACCGGTGCTTGGTAGCTGTGGGAAAGTTCTGTGTTGGTAGCAAAGTCTGCAGCAAAGTGTTTGTTCAGCAGCCTTAGTGGAAATGTGCTCTATGGACTGCCTCTTTGGGAATCTTGTTCTTACAACGCGCATGACTTAGTCAAGGAACTTGGGCTTTGTGTCCCTGACGACTCTGACCTCAAGACTGCCTGGCTAAATCAAGATGGCATTCCTGGACTCACGGCCAGAAAGGGAAACAAGAGAGCTGAACCAAAACTCTTCAATTTTTCCCTCATTTCCCAAAAAATCAACTCCACATTCTAGGCCAGAACCGACTGGGTCGGCAGTACCCACTTCTTGGACGTTCCTTTGTTTAATTCAGAGACAAAGTTGCTTGCAAATGCCTTCCTCCACACAGCTCCTCAGCAGGGACCGAACAACCTCGGCTGCGCTGGAAGCCAGATTTGCGCTCGCCAGCTGCTCCTGGAGCAAATGTACATCTCACTGACGCAGAACATCGGACAACTGACAACTGCAGGGAAGTCTTTCATGAACATCTGGCGGAAACAAACAAATAAGTTCAGGCCCAAGTGCCCAGCACGTGATTGCAACAAAATCTATCCGAATCAAGGCAAAACAAAAAAAATGTTTGCTACATCTGTTGAAAAAAATGGTCAATCAATCCGGCCAACACTGGTGGGGCCTTATATCTACATGCGTTTCTTTTCCCGGCTATACGAACTGATCTTCGGTTTGCACTGACCATGCTAAACATCACGTTCAAAGCCACCCATATCATATTTTTCCATTTAAAATCTCACAAACAAAGCAGTCAGCTATGAACTTTCGCAGGGGCCTGTGCAAACAAAGGATTCCTTACGTCTGGATGAAACCGCAATTCTGGCAACACGTGCCTGAAGGGCAAAGGACGCGACTTCTGTTTCAAACGTCAAAAATGTATCTCCAGCCAACCTCTGCGAATACCTTGAAACAGGCTCCCTGAAGCCTACACAGCCCTTCTCATGTCTTCAAACTCTGACACAAGGAATCCTTATGTCTTCGTTACCAATATGAGCACTCAGAAGCACTGAAAATATGATGCACCCAACTGCACAACCTGGCCCGTCAAGGAACAAACACACAGGAGGCATTCAACAAGCTCCACGGAGGATATTTAAAAACCAGTCCCCCCCATTGCAATCAAGTTCTTCCTCCAAAACCTGTATTAGCCCAGCTTTGCAACCCAACAGCAAAAGGTTCCAGGACTGTTCCAGGACTGTTCCAGTTTTTCGGGGTGTGCAATTTCGTGCAGTCCCCGGCCCCGGAGATCGAAACCCAACAGATGCGCTGTTGGGAACAACCCCAAAGTGATGACTGCGACCACACATAGAGTCTAAATCACCTCACTCCTAGCCACGTTTCAGAAATGAAGCATGCTTTACCACCCCCAGCACTCTTCCCCTAGGTCCTGACAGCTTCGTTGCTCTCTCAATTGGCAGGCCAATGATGCGAGGCGCTCCAGGAGCGCATTCCAACCTTCATTTTCCAGCTCATGGATCCTGCAGAACCGGGCAGCCTGCAAATATTTTTTCCAAAACCATTTATCCGGTAAATTCCTCGTTCATGTTGAACCAATGGTCTGCGAAATGATCACCCTCGCTGCTTCACCCCCTACAATAATTGATTTATCTTGGTGTGGCCCCCTTCATACCTCTTTCAGATCACTTGGATATCGGCAGTACAGCTATTCAAGTACCAACAGCACTGCCAATCCAACTCATGACTCCAAACCCGGGGTGTCTTGGTACGACTAGCCAAGCACAACTATCAATTTTCAATGCCACGTGGGAGTACAAATAATTTGGAAACCGTTTTTGAATTTTTGAATGTTTTTGAGAGGTTCCACATGCCTGCTCCAAGGTGGTTTCTCAAGAAGCAAAACATGAAGTTGCGTCCTCCTCCACATCTCGGCCCCTCGTCGTTTGAGCACCTTTGCCTGCAGCGAGTCACGCTCCTCAAGGAGTGGGTTAAAACTTTGCTGCAAAGTCGAAAGTTTCTCCAAGCGAGCGCCAGGCTCTCCAACGGGTTCCTGAGAAGTGATAGGGCATGGGCCTTGAAACGGGAAATCCATCATTTAAAAAAGCATTAGAAAAAACAACGACAAATTATCAAAACGACAAATAAATCTCGTTCTACTACCAGTATGTCTTTTCACGAGAGAACCATCCCTTGAAATTGAAATGGGGCGCCCATTCATGGAATGATGCAGATGGGGCTGGTGAAAATGATGTAGGGGCCACATTCAATTCCCAACTAGTTCCCCTGCTGCCTTCATGTCCACAAAGAATGAATACAGTTTTCACTAGCAGTGCCTCCAACCACATCTTCGCATGGGCTATGCCCTTCTGGAACTTGTCCATGACCCGCAATCTCATTGCGCTATCCTGCATCCGTGGCAAATCACAGAAGGTGTACGACGGTTTACAACGGGTGTGAAATAGTTTTAGGATTTTTTTTTTGAACAGGTTTGGGAATTTTTTTTGGATTTCTTGGCTGGTACCATTTGCCTAGTGTTTGCAACGGTTTGGAACTTGAATTTGTCATTTTGCATGGTATTTGCCACATTTGGGCATGTTCACCTTCCATTTTGCATGGGATTTACTACACGTGGGCATGTTCACCTTCCATTTTGTATGGTATTTGCCACATTTTGGCATGTTCACCTTCCATTTTGCATGGGGTTTCCTACATGTGGGCATGTTCACCTTCCATACAATTTGCCACATTTTGGCATGTTCACCTTCCATTTTGCATGGGATGTTCTACATGTGAGCATGTTCACCCAAATATTTACAGATGCGGAAGCTTGGGATTAGATAAAAAGCGGGTGGGGGGGGATTGAGGGAGGGCGCTAGCTATCTATCCAGCTAGCTAGCTATCTAGCTATCTAGCTAGCTATCTATCTAGCAAGCTAGCTATCTATCTAGCAAGCTATCTATCTATCTATCTATCTACCTATCTAGCTAGCTATCTTGCTAGCTATCTATCTGCCTATCTAGCTATCTAGCTAACTATCTATCTAGCTATCTAGCTATCTAGCTTTCTATCTATCTAGCTATCTATCTATCTAGCCATCCAGCTGTCTATCCAGCTATCTAGCTATCGAGCTATCTAGCTAACTATCTATCTAGCTATCTAGCTATCTAGCTTTCTATCTATCTAGCTATCTATCTATCTAGCCATCCAGCTGTCTATCCAGCTATCTAGCTATCGAGCTATCTATCTAGCTATCTATTTATCTAGCTAACTATCTACCTATCTATTTAGCTATCTATTTATCTAGCTAACAATCTACCTATCTATTTAGCTATCTATCTATCCATCTATCTAGCTATCTATCTAGCTACCTCTTTATCTATCTAGCTAGCTAGCTATCTATCTATCTAGCTATCTATCTAGCCATCTATCTATCTATCTAGCTATCTATCTAGCCATCTATCTATCGAGGTATCTAGCTATCTATCTCTCTAGCTATCTATCCATCTAGCTGGCTATCTATCTATCTAGCTATCTATCTACCAAGCTATCTATCAGCTATCTATCTATCTATCTATCTATCTATCTATCTATTTATCTATCTGTCTATCTATCTATCTATCTATCTGTCTATCTATCTATCTATCTATCTATCTATCTATCTATCTATCACATGTAAACCTGTCAGCTTTCCAGAGAAGGTTAGTTCGCAAAAACCAACTAATGTAACTTGGGTTTAAGTTTAAATAAAAAAAAGCGGGAGGGGGGGATTGGGGGGAGGGCGCAGCGCCTCCCCCAAAGCAGAATGCAAGCACCTCTTCTCACATGTTACGTTGCTAGTTTTCAAGAGAAGGTTGGTCATGTGATACTCAGGGATGTAAATACTTAAATACTGTGCAAAATGCATCTTACATGAAAATCAAGTATTTAAAGCAGGCAAAGCAAAAAAAAAAAGCAGAGAAGCAAAAAAGCAGAGAAGCAAAGAAACAGGAAACGCACAAAAGCAAAACAGCAGAAAGGAAAAGAAGCAGGAAAAGCAGAAAAGCAGAGAAGCAGGAAAAGCAGGAAAAGCAGAGAAGCAAAGAAACAGGAAAAACAGAAAAGCAAAAAAGCAGAAAAGCAGAGAAGCAGGAGAAGCAGGAGAAGCAGAAAAGCAAAAAAGCAGAAAAGCAGAGAAGCAGAGAAGCAGGAGAAGCAGAAAAGCAAAAAAGCAGAAAAGCAGAGAAGCAGGAAAAGCAGGAAAAGCAGGAAAAGCAGGAAAAGCAGGAAAGCAGAGAAGCAGGAAAAGCAGGAAAAGCAGGAAAAGCAGAGAAGCAGGAATCCAAAAATAATTCCTAAACCTGATCAAAAAAAAAATCCTAAAATAATTAGCCCTCCGTTTACAACTTGATACAACTTGAAACCAAACGACCACACGATATCCTGACATCTATTTTCAAAAAGAGGCCCCCAAGGATACACATTGAGTCTTCATGTTGGCCCGGGTCCTTCACAACACCTTCAGGAGGATTGGATTGGAGAAATTCGCCTGCCAGAACCATCAACGCCGTCAATCCCCCGGCACTGATGAACTCTTGAATCTCCGCGGTATCCATCACCTGATTGCCAAATTTGATGTGCTCCGTGCTCCAAGCCCACGAAAAAATTAAAAACAAAAGCGATGCACGGGGGGCAACAGTCCTGCGTTCCATTCCCACTGCACCATCAAAACAAATCTTTAACAATACATCCAACCAAACCTGTGGCAACTAAGCTCATCGCTACCGTGGCCAGCCGGTGTAGAACGAACTTCTGATCATCAGGGTGGCTTAGCTGCTGCAGCATTTCAGCCGCCCGTGCTGGTGAGCGGGCTCCAAATGTTTTCGCTGGAACGGCTTTGCAGCTCCGCCGCAAATTCCATGCAGTGGAATCCGACACCAGTTTGCCCAATCCCGGCACATTGAGGCCAGTGTTTTCAATGGCTTGTTGCAAAGCTGCAAAGTTCTCCAGAAAACGTGTCAATTTGCGGTCAATGCCAGGTTTTTGGGAAGACTTGCGGCACTCATCCAAGCAAACATTTAAGTACTCGATGCCAGCCTCAATTATGTCAGTGCCAAGTTTGGAAGGTTTGTCACCAGCGGCCTCAATCATCCACTCCATGGCAGTGTCACATGGAATAGGGCATAACTGCTGGGCATAGCACCGCAATTTGCGACCACGCTCCTCCCAAGTCAATTTCTCACCAGCCACACTGAAGTTGCTGAAGGCACTTCGGTTTTCCTCCAAGCACTCCAGCAAAGCCTGGGCTTTCGACTTCAGTTCTTGCAATTCACTGGAACTTTCGCGGGAACCAGGAAAGTCGTTAACGTCTGCCTCTTCTTCGTCCACTTCCTCCTCCGAATCCTGGTGACCAAAATGGTGTCTTTCGTTCAAAAAACATCCACTTTAGGCATGTTCAGAAAAAGGAACACTTTTTGACTTTGGGGCCGAGGTGAAGGTTCCAACGAAAGCCGCCCTAGATGTTTTTACTTTTATGGTCAAAGGAAACAACAATAACAAACATAGCTTCGGATGGGACGATACCCCGGTATCTGAGTTGGCAGGATTGAGACTGAAGTTTGCAGTACAGGTTGGAAACAATACAATACAAGCGTACCATTTCCCACATCCAAGTCCTGTTTTTGCCGAGTTGCAACTTCTTCCACTGATTCGCGTCGCAAGCTGTCCACCCGACGTCTCTTGAAAGCAGGATGTGTTTGATGAAACTCAGTGTCCTGCTGCTGCAGCCATTCGGAGTCTGGCAAGGGGAACCCAAGTTCTTCCAGCGAGGCCCCTGGGCACAAGGTCGTCTCCGGAGGTGCGCAGTGTGGTTGAAAATATGAAAACAGGTGGGTTTCAACAAGGCATTGAGCATACACCAGTCGCAACAGCACATATGAAGAATTTCAAGCAATGCCCTTTCAACCAATGATAGGACAACACATCCAACGGGGGAACACTGAAGGATAAAGATGGCCCAGTTTGCCAAAGCCGTAGATTCAACAAGAGCCCAGTGGACATCCAACGGGGGAACACTGAAGGATAAAGATGGCCCAGTTTGCCAAAGCTGTACATTCAATAAGAGCCCAGTGGGCCAGTTAAGCAGCAGGGCCCCTGCCGTAAATGGACAAAATATTACAGTCCCTTCTATCCAATACAATCCTGCTGCCCCAAAACTCAACGCCAATGGGAATTCAGGCACATTCCAAGCCCCCAACATCACATCTGGTAGCACATGTGAGTCGTCTTCCCCCCAAGGTACCGTCCCAACAGTGTGCAGGGCAAGAGAACGCAGTTTTACCATCCCTGGGTTCTATTTTTTGAACCATAGCCATAAAAGGAGATTCTGTTGGGGGGAGGTGCTTATGAAGTCCCTCTGTTGAAAACTTGCACCAAGCCACGATCTGCGTCCTTGATCTTGTCACAACCCTTCCGGCAGAAAAAAACCAAGGACACGCGTGGCCCATCAGTGTAAGGCATTGCTGCATGCGGGATCCGGCCATCAAAGTGGAACCACTTGCCGTTAATGTCATGGACACGGCCGTAGATGACGTCCTGCGGTCGGAAATCATACCCTTTCAGGGGCTCAGTGACCGTCATCGGCACGTCGTCTTCTTCCACTTTCTTCCCCTCAGGGTTCATGAGCCAAAGCCCTCCTTGACCAAAGCGACCCGTCGCTAGGATCTCACTGCTGCCGCAATTGTTTCCGTCTACATGCAGCCGGGCGGAGTAATTCAGGTTGAGCTGTACAGTGCTGAATCTGTGACCGGGCAACTGCCTGCCCAAGGCAACCACAAGTTTGGCCAGATTTTTCATGGCATGGGTCATCTTCGAAGACGTCAAGCCAACACTGTAGGAGTTAGCAATTCCCAAGCAAAATGCCTCCAACTTTAGCTGCCCATCCGGCCGCACGTTTGCCCGGCTATGACAGAGGGGCCATCTGAAGGATTCCAAGGCGGCCAACACATCCTCGGGGCGAGCAGCCCGGTCCGTTGGAACCCTTATCTTGGCGTCTGCGGCTACAAACCTGCCAGTGCCAGCTTGGTTGTTCTTCACCTAGGCTTGATCACATTGGATCACAGTAAACATGGGGAGAAAAGGAAAACATCGGGAAACTGGCAAAAGGAATCAAGTCACCCCAGCATAACGTTCCAGCTCAACAATCACGCCCTTCATCTCTTTCGGGCCGAAGGTGTCTGCAAGTTGCTCCAAGATCCTTGGCCAGAAGCATCTCAGCGCAACACACAACTAACTACAGCAAAAAGAAAATCAATCTAGGCTCACATGCGTTTACAAATAGGAGGTGTGTCCCGGAACGGGTCCTGAAATTTGAGATTTCTGATTTCGGTCCCTGGGAACTTCCAGACCTGCGTTTTCAACACCTAAAACTACACGGGTTGGATTTGAAGAAAAGCATTCTGATTCCAAGGATCTCGGTCTGAGTCTGCTGAAGCAAAATCTTCAAAACTTTGGCACGAAGTTCGGCTCTTGGTGAAGGTTCACCTAGTAAACCTTTGCCACAGCCCTTTGACACATAGCTGATGAAGCTGTGTAGCCTGGCAACCCTAGGTTCCACCCACCGCAAAACGACCTATGCAACGAACTCCCACTCAATCTAAATATTTCTGTCTTCGGCAGCTGTGCAACGATTGAGTGAAATCTGGCTATATGTTTGTCTTTTTGCCATCTTGCATGTTCTTTCCAAATCCCGATCCTCTCTTTCAGGTGGCCTGCCTTCGGTCTGGATGCATGCCGGCCACTCCTGTGCACGGCTTGAAGGCCCGGAACACATGAAGGCGCCCACAAGGTCTGCCACAAATGTCGCAGTGGTTCTGGGAGAGATCCTCAGAAGGCTCCAGTCCCTCTGTCATGTCCTTAGGGCTCATGGTGTAGAAAGGCCCCGGACCCTGAAGCTGAAGTTGACATAGCCAGATATACTTCGCTCGATGATGCTTGCTAATTGGCGCCCCAGGAAAGCGTTTGGTGATCTCTTTGCTCTGCTTGAAAATTGTCTTGTTGTGTTGCTCCGGGTCCGGCTCGTCTTCCACAAACTGCAGGAAGCACTGCGAAACCAAGGGCGGATTTTCATCATGCCGCGGGCGTGGCATGCTTTCAGATTCAGGCCTGAAGTATAATAGTTTGTGGGGTGGAAGGCCTTGCCTCATCCGTTGATTTCCTTGTTCCTTGTTCATGTTGGAGTGGAGAAATCAGCTACAATAAACCCGTGCTGGAGTGAAGGTACAAAACGCTCTTACTTGCATCAGATGTGTTTGCAGGGTTGCTCGATCTGAGTGTTCGATCTTTGTCTACAAAGGTCCGACCGGTCCGGGTTCCTAGACATATTCCAATAGTTCCATCGAAATCCCTGCTCATTCCTACATAGTCCACTTGAGCAGGCTGAATCTATGGGTCGGCGGCGGGCCACAAGATCTTCATCCCATCAAAGTGAACTTCCGGAAAGCATCTACAGCATGACATGCAGCTGTATCCCGCAAGACAAAGACAAGAACCCACAAATCAGATTGAATCAATGAGTCTTCCCTGACTTCTGTCAAAACTTCAACACAAATCTACCACTTTGTCTTGGCAGCTGTTCAAAATACTCCTCCAAAGGCTTTACCAAAGGGTGGCTTTGTAGCTTCCCACTACGCTAGGCATGATGCAAAGATCGCAGTCCGCAAATAGTGTCGAGGCCATTGTCAAGACCTCATGCTTACTGCTTAGGTCTTAGTGGCACATTCAGAATGAGTAAAACTTCGTACTTGAACGAACATGGCCTGGCAAACCAAAGCTAGGGGGTGACCCAGCAAGATAAACAGAAGGTCAAATATGTCATTAGCACTCCCTTTCGAGATGGCTTGCCCCTGCGATCAAATCAACCTCCGCTGATAGTGCAATACTGACTGTGCATAGTCATGCATAGTCAATGTATCCTTCCTCACGTAGACAGACAGAGCATCTTATCTCCGAACAGTTGGAAAACAAGTACGTCCAATTCCATGCCCTACAAACCTGTACCAAGTAAAAGTCACCGAGCTTCTTGGAATACAGCATTGCTTTGGTGCCAAGCCAGCCCAGCCTTCCCACTGACTAAGGGTGCAACATGCATGCTCTTGCACCCCTACATCATCTTGATGTTACGTCCATGCTGATTGGAATGCCAATTGAAGTCATATGTTTGTGATCCAAACATCATGCCAAAGTGCAAATGGCAAACATGGGCAAACACATACCAACAACTTCGTAGTAGTTCAGTGGAAAATCCATGAAACAAGACAAATTTCTAAGCGGAAGAGTGCAATCAGCATACGGGTGTCGCAAGTTCTTGCAACCTCATCCAGATATATCAAGCCTATTATGAAATCAATATAATCAATTGAAAGTATGGACTGGACTTCTCAAGGAAGCGTCTTTTTTAGCCAAGCGATGGTGCAGCAAACAGCTTGCCACTGAGCTAACGTTCAGACTGACAGCTTGCCAGCGCAGTCTTGGAGGCACTTTGGACATCCAAGGAAGCATAGTCACCAGTCTGAAACCTCAGCTGGCCACAGATCCCCTCAGCCCTTGTTATCTATGCACGGATGTTTGTTTCAATCCGAAACAAATTGTCAGCGCAGTGTTTTGATATCTTCAAGAGTACAAATGAAGAACAGTACCTCCAACTCCTCTATGTGTGATTTTTTCTCGCACATTGCTTTAGATTACACATGCAGCGGGCGCAGCGGGCAATGCGTCCGAACTTCCACACTTGAATACGTCTGCTAGCGTAGTCTCTTGGAAACAGCGAAGCTGTTGGTGAATCTGGGGGACCAATGGGGAGCAACATAAACAGATTGAAACACTTCACCTATTTTCACCTAAAGTCAGGGATTGCGTTCCACGCCATGACACTCAGCAGGCGCCCCCAAGGCTGCCATCAAACCAGCAGCAGAGAGGCCGCCAGGTAAAGTCAAGTTGGACAGGTCAGGCTCCAAGCCACCTGCAGCTGGGGGGCCAGGACCACAATAACAGCATGAGCATGGCAAAGGAGTAGGACGACCAAGCAACATGATGTGCAAAATGCAGTCACAAACACATCAAAAGAAAAGAACCACTAGATTCACCAAAGAACCTCAATCTCTAGCACATAGCTACCGGGTCAAAAAAATCCTTACCAAAGTGCACAGCCAGTGCCAAACTGAAATTGACAAACCACAGAACCGCCATGAACCGCCTTCAATCTTCTCTCCATGAGGTCCACTGTATCGGGCCACAGTGAGTGCCACGGCCTCCTCACTGACGCTTTCAAACTGTGGCAATGCTGGTGGCTCGGGAAGAAATAAAAGATGCGAAGACAAAGTGGAGCAAATCCCAAACAAAACGGATGGTGCAAATTTGCAAATGGCAAATCACATATAAATCATACCAGTAGTACCCGCACGAGGCGGGGCGGAAGTTGCCTTTAGGGAACTTGCATGCGCCGTGCGCCAGCCAAGCCCGTGCGTGCGTGCACTCTGCGAAAGTCGTGTCCTCTTTCACATGTCATTTGAAGCTCCACTTCGCACTTCACACTCCACACTTCCCACTGCACTCTTCCCACTTCACACTCCACACTTCACGCTTCACAGTCCACACTTCACACTTCACACTTGAAACTTCACAGTCCACACTTCTCACTTCTCACTGCCTTTTTCACATTCCACATTCCACACTTCACACTGCACTCTTCACGCCCCACACTTCACACTGCACTCTTCACACGCCACACTTTATCTCATCTGAGCTCTTCTCACCTTATCCAAGCTCATTCCTTCTCATCTCATCATCTCTTCTCATATGTCATACAAACTTTCATGAATCACTTCCCAGTACTACTACTAAGGAACTTGCATGCGCCGTGCGCCAGCCAGGCCCGTGCGTGCGTGCTTTGTGCGAAGCTGTTGCAGTGTTGCTGTCCAAGAACATGACCTGCGCGCGACCCCGGTGCAATGCAAACACTTTCCTCACACCTCACATTGCACTCTTCACACCCCACACTCCACACTTCACACTTGCACTTCATCTCAACTCATATCATCTGAGCTCTTCTCATCTCATTCCATGTCTTCCCATATGTCAGCTAATTCCTTCTTGACTATTTTCATGTCAATTACTTCCCAGTACTGATGTCTACTACAAAAGCTTGCAAAAACCACTTCCCAGTACTAATTTGTACTACACAGCTTGCACAAAACACGCTCCAGTACTACTTTGTATTACAAAGATTGCACAAAGCACTTCCCAGTACTATTTTGTACTACAAAGCTTGCACAAACCACTTCCCAGTACTACTTTGTACTACAAAGCTTGCACAAAGCACTTCCCAGTACTACTGTGTACTACAAAGCTTGCACAAACTACTTCCCAGTACTACTGTGTACTACAAAGCTTGCAAAAAGTACTTCCCAGTACTACTTTGTACTACAGCAAAGCTTGCAAAAAGGACTTCCCAGTATATACTACTTTGTACTACAAAGCTTGCACAAAGTATTTCCCACTACTTCTTAAGGAAGCTTGCACAAAGAAAGCTTTTACACACAGCAAGTTCTTTCGCAGAGAAGCTTTTACACACAGCAAACTTTTTAAACAGAAGCTTTTACACACAGAAGCTTTTACACACAACAAGCTTTTACACAGAGAAGCTTTTACACAGAGAAGCTTTTACACACAGCAAGCTTTCACACACAACAGGCGTTTACACACAGAACACTTACACACAGTGCTTTTACACATGGCAAGCGTTTACACACAGAAACTTTTGCACAAAGACGCTTTTACACACAGAGACGCTTTTCCACACAGCAAGCATTTACACACAAAATCGTTTACACACAGCAAGCTTTCACACACAGCAAGCTTTTACACACAGCAAGCTTTCACACACAGCAAGCGTTTACACACAGGACACTTACACACAGTGCTTTTACACATGGCAACCGTTTACACACACAGAAACTTTTACACTGAGACGCTTTTACAAACAGAGAAGCTTTTACACACAGCAAGCCTTTACACACAAGATCTTTTACACACAGCAAGCGTTTTATCACAACAGGAATTGCAGCTCCAAGACCGGATCTCGACGCCAAAGCAACAAAACCACGATTTTGAAGCACTTTCAAAAAGAAATTTTAAAAGGGAAATCACTAGCGCCAAAATTGCGAAAATCTGCTGACAAATCACTATCGCAGCCTGGATGCAGCCACTCCAATACGATTTACGATCTTCAGCTGCAAAAGACAATAGTATTATGCATGCAGCCGCGGCACGAAGCAACCTTGACGCAGCCATTACATTGCGATCTGCAGAGACTGACTTGCAAAACATAATAGAACTACGCGCAACGGCGTCGGAAATTGCAGCTCCAAAACCGGATCTCGACGCCAAAGCGACAAAAAGACGATTTTGAAGCACTTTTTAAATGATTTTTACAAGGAAAATTGCTAGCACCAAAATTGCGAAAATCTGCTGACAAATCACTGTCGCAGCCTGGATGCAGCCACTCCAATACGATTTACGATCTTCAGCTGCAAAAGACAATAGTATTCTGCATGCAGCTGCGACACGAGGCAACCTTGACGCAGCCATTACATTGCGATCTGCAGAGACTGACTTGCAAAACATAATAGAACTACACGCAACAGCATCGGCAATAGCAGCTCCAAAACCGGATGGATCTCGACGCCAAAGCAGAAAAAAGACGATTTTGAAGCACTTTTTAAAAGGATTTTTAAAAGGAAAATTAATAGCGCCAAAAAGT